CCCCCCCCCGGCTTTTTATCAAGGGCTTGCTGAACCATTTGGAAGAGAGAAGGACCTGTGATGGCCAGTTTGGGTTAGATGCTAATAAACTTGCCTAAGTCAAGTCAGTGAAGGTAATCTAATAACATTCTTTGTTTTATTTACTTATCCCCAAAGGAACTGCCCTTTTTGTGAAATATTTACCCTACTCAATAGAAATCTAGAAAAAGTAATTATAAACACATTAAGTAAGACTTTCAGTTGGAAAAGCATTTGTGACAATTCATAAAAATGAAATGGTTGTTTATATGCAAGTGGTTCTAAACTCAAAGCCAGGAAGTAAGTAGTATTTCCACATCTAAGTAGCGCCGCGCTTCCCAAGCAGCGCACTATAGCAGTGCGCCACCGGGCCTGCCCTGAAATGTATTCTTGAGCTTTGTTGCAAATCGATGCTAAACCAGCAGTAAACACTACCATCCTATTTACATATCTAATCTGATCACAAATAGCACACTTTTGCCATTATGTTTCTACAAAGGAATTTTTAAAATTAAAGCATAAGAAAAAAAAATTATTGGCAAGAAAAAGTTCCCAGTACACATAAAAATCCTTTTCCATTAAGTTACATTGCCTTCTATTTTCAGGTCAACATAATTCAATATGTTTAAAAAGAACAAGGAAATCATTGGGTTCTTTCACTTTGGCTCCTTGGTTCTCTCTATAGGCACATCCCTTTAGATGCTGGGATGCATTTCTCAGGGGTGCATTCATCTTCCTGGAAATAAGTTAGGTTGGCATCTTGGAACAGTCCATTCACCTTTTCAGGCCACCAAGTGTTAATGGTGACATTTAGCACTTTGGTGTTTCCTACCCTACCTACTAATAACCACTTTCTCCTGTGTTTTTCTCCATGGAAGGGTAAAGGAAATTTCACACATATCCTGAAGCTATTGTGGTCCTCTAAATCACAATTGGTCAGTTTGGTTGGGGTAAGCAAGTTTCTGCTTGTTTTCTAAATTGTTCCATTGACTGTGCTTCCCTCCAAGGCATCACACTGCTTTCCAGTAGTCCTTGACAGTTGTCTAAGAGATACATGCCATTGGTACCCAGACAAGAATGTGTGATGGATCAGTTCCACTGAGAAAGTGAGTTCAAGTGTACAACCTTCCAAAGGCAAATCCTGTAGCAGCATCTCGAAGAAGATGCAGCAAGTGATTCCTGTGCTGTCCCTTTTGTTTTAGTGCCCTGGAGAAGCCTGAATGAATTGCCTTTGACTGTCTTCAGGGGGTGTCTTTTGGGGAGGATGGGTGTCAAAAGCCTGTGACATAACCTTATAACAAACGTGTCTACTTTATCTCAAAGTCTACTTTTCAATTTAAAATGCACAGTTGCTTGCTTTATACCAAACAATAGGTGTCCGAATTACTAAAGCCCAGTGGAAGTGTCTTTTCTGAAGTGAATGCTCTACAAAGAACACAGACATGAGCCTTCTCCTCTGATTTATCTGGGACTGCCAGTAGGACTGCCTAAAATGCATTTTATTAAATTTAGAACCATAGGACAGGACAAACAGATAAAACTGTCTGTCATTCATTTCCAAACACTGCAAAGTTCCCATTTAAATTAGAGGATTTAATCTTAAATCAAAAATTGGGAGGAGAGGTGGAACTGATAATGGGTGTATAGCCCTTTCTGCTGGTCTAGCTTAAATTGTACACGGATTCTCCTAGTGTAGCTGAAGAAGACACAAAATAACTCAGGAATCATTTTACATGGACTGCTGGAAGATGTATGTTTAAAAAATGAATTGGATGAAAATTAAGTTCAGATATTTTGCCCATCATTAAGCAGAACAGATTATAAATGTGGATATATACATTGTCTCAATAATGACCTAAAATATTTGCATATGTTTAAAGGTTTTTGTTTTTGTTTTTTTCATGTAGAACCATAGGATTCCACTCTTTTATGTTTAACTGAAAATCTGAATCAATTTTCTGGCACACATTGGGATGGTGAGCTCCCTAAAATCACCTTTTTTATGAGAAGCTCAAAGGGCAATGGTTGGTTCCTCAATATGGACCTGGGGCTAAAAGCCAGTTGGGTCCTACAGGGAACACCAGAAAGAGTCAAATCCTAAACCACCTGCGTTCTGGAGAATCCCTGCACCCTTTCAGGTGGTTCCAGCAGTCAAAGTTCTACCCAAGGAGCCATGATGGGGCCTGACTGAGAGCAGTCACTGTGTGATATTGTAGGGACTATAATACCTACCATTACCTGGTACATTTCTCAGAGTTTCTCTGAGGTCAAGGTGGTTGCTTCAACTTCTCTTTCATGCCTCCAGGCCCACATTTCCAAATGCCCGCAGGAAGTCTCCATGAGACACGCCATAGATGCATTACACTCAGCATGTTCCAAATTGACTCCTTTTCTCTTCACCCTCCTAGGTTGAGCTGTCAGGTCCACAGTCCCTTACCTGAAACCTTTTGATATATGAGTGTTTAAGAATTCTTTTTTTTTTAATCTTAGAAGAAAAAATACTATATATTATCTATATAGTATATATTATCTATATTTATATGCAATATATGATATATTATTTAACACCCCCAGAAGGGTCTGCAGCAGCAACTGGTAATCTAATACATGGACATTTTTGTAGACATATTTGATTATTCATTCTAAGTGGGATAAAATGAAGATTATATTATAGTCTCACATTATTTTGCCACCAAATGAATTTGCACCAAATATACAAAATTTGCATGTGTGTGTGTGGTGATGGTGGAGGATTCACAGAGTTTAAGAGCTTTTGGAATTTGGAACTAGAGATAAGAAAGTGTGGACCTGCAGGTCTCTCATCCACATTTTTGCCCCCTGGGTGCCAGTCTCTGCCATCACCGCACAGCCTCTTGGAAGAGCAAACAAAAGGCTAAGTTTCAACAGCAGTTTTGGCAAAATATCTGAATTTAATTTTCATCCAATTCATTTTTTAAACATACATCTTCCAGCAGTCCAGAGAAAGCCAAGAAATGTAAAATGATTCCTGACTTATTTTGTGTGTTTCAACAGCAGTTTTGGCAAAATATCTGAATTTAATTTTCATCCAATTCATTTTTTAAACACACATCTTCCAGCAGTCCAGAGAAAGCCAAGAAATGTAAAATGATTCCTGACTTATTTTGTGTGTTCTTTAAAACTGTGATTGTGTTATTTTCCTGCCTAGAAATATCTAGTAGCTTCCAATTTCTAATTCAACGAAGTCCAAATTTTTTAGCCTGGCATATCAGGACCTCCACATTTGGCTTCTGCTTTTATTATGTCCTCTTCCTCACTCTTTGCCTTATGCTCCAGGATTTTTAATTTCCCTCCAAACACCTAAAACCCTCTTACACATATATGTTTCTTGATGAGTTTATTCTGTCTGCTAAGAATGGCTCTGCCCGTCTGCCTTGTGAATTCCTACTGTCTTTAATACCCAGTTCAAAGCTGTTGACATCCTGTGTGTATTCTCTGAGCTTCCTTCTTTTGTGTTCTCATCCTTGCTCTGTGTGTTTTATACCAGCAGGCTGCCGAGTCTATTGTACATTTCATTGCTTGCTTTCCACAGACAATATTAAGCCGAGTCCTGGAAATTCCACTTTTACATATCTTTTAAATCCATTTCCTTTACATGCTCATCAAATACAATGTCTTATTTACGCTACTCCTCAGTCAGACTGCTGAGAATCCTATGAGCACACTCCCATAGTTTCAGTCTCCATGTTTTCACTCAAGGCCATGCCCATTGCCTCATTATAGAGAATGCCCTGCAATACCCTTGATTGTTGAAATTCTACTTGATCAATACTCAGGTCACCTCTAAACTCTCCAAAGTTTCTTCTGAACGTCCACCCAGGAGTGATTCCACTCCCCTCTGAACTCAGGTAGTACTTATATAATTATTTGTGTATGTGTTGATCTGTGTTCATCTCAACTTTTAGGCTTTATATTTCAAAAGGTAGGACCTATCTTATTTGTCTTAGTTATCTTCTCTAAATAATAGCCCAGTTGTTTGCAAAGAAGAAGTGCTCAGTAGCTGTGTATTGAGTGACTAAATGCATGGATGTTTGGATGGGGGAATGAAGACAGGGAGTGAAAATTTTTAGAGAGCAAGAGAAGGCAGATGGCTCAATCCATAAAGGTGAAATAAAGATGAAAGAGATCTTTGGAAAACAAAGTGTGGCAACTACTTCAATTTGCTAAATAATTCTTGGAGAGGATTAAGAGTAATAATATCTTGAAGTGCTACCTGAGGAAGCTTTCTTCCTATGCTTGTGTCATGTGTAGATATACATGCGGGCACTTCAAAAAAGTTCATGGAAAAACAGAATTAAAAAATAATACTAAAAAAAAATTTAGGGCTGGCTGGTTAGCTCAGCTGGTTAGAATGCAGTGTTATAACACCAAGGTCAAGGGTTTGGATTCTGTACTGGCCAGCTGCCAGAAAAAAAAAAAAAAAAAAGATAATACAAATCTTTCAATGAACTTTTTGAAGTACCCTAGTGTTTTTTGCTTATTGAGTGTTACTGGAAGGCCTGAACTTGTCTTTCAGACTTTTGCTCCACCATTTTTACATTGAAACTGTGACCTTATATTTGGAGGGGATGTTGGGCTCCATTTATTTGCTCTAGAAAATTAATTCTATCTAAAGGAAAGTGCAACAAATTACAAGGTTCACATCAATTTTTCCTTCTCCAATGTCTTGGTCAGAGCTGTAACATGTTTTTAAGTATCACTCTGAGTGCATGGCTACCATGTTCCCCAGCTGTGGGGGTTACATAGGACCACCCTTCTGAAACCTTAACACCACCATGGTCATGGCTTCTCCACCTCCCTTTAGCATAGCACAAAGAATACTGGTTCAAATACTGAGTTTCTATACAACCTTAGGAAAGTTAGGGAACCTTCTTGTCTGTAAAATGGAGCGATTACATTCTCCTTGTTGTATTAAGTGGGATTTTGGCTTAGTTTTTGATTCCTAGGAGTACTGGGTAATGAATGGCTGGTTTCTTCTTTTCTCTTTCTCTAACCAGCTCAACATGAGAGCAACCTTGTCTTACCCGGAGTACTAACCTAAAGCATTTAATAACATGCAGTTTTTCTAAGAATTCTCTGATGTTAATTTTTTAATGGTTTTACTTTGGCACTAGATTTCCTTATGTCTACATGTTTTCAGGTTGGGGGAACAATGATATGAAAGTAAACTAAAGTTAAATTTAAAAACACAGAAATAAGCTACTATTTAAAAAAAAAAAAGAAAATAATACCTTGGCTCTCAAAGTCTGTTGTAAAAAGTTACTACAACGAATCTTTGCAGTAGGTAGTTTTGGGTAAATTTAAGAAATAATGCAATGGAAAGAATGACAGATAATAAACAATCTAAGAATAAAAGTCAAATGGTACAAACGAAAGAGAGCATTTTACCATGCACAAATTAAAACAGACTATCAGAATTATATAGATAACAATTTGACTATGAGTTAATAATGCAGTGAGTGCCTTGTAAAAAAGGAAATTGCCATTGAAAAACATTCACAGGGTCACAATATTTATAAAAGAAATGTTAATCTTTCCAATGTACTTAGTACTTTAGGACCTCTCCAGAGTAAGGGACATTGTACTAATGGCTTGCTTCTAGTTGTGGGTACCATTTAGTGTGGAGATGAGGGATGAACTAATACTATAAAAGTTACAGTGCTACTAGCCTCCACCAAAGAACAGGACTCTAGATTAGTTGTTTGATATACTGGTTGTTAAACTTGGATTTTTTTTTTAAAGTGAGTTAGAAAATGACTGTATACAAATCACCTTGTAAAAATTTGTTTCTAATTGAAAGGAGGCATCTCTATTTTAATCTTATTTTACTTATGTGAGTGTGTGTGTGGATATAAACACTCAGATATTATAAACACTTAAAGTTACAATTACCCGTCTCTGTGCTCTGCGTCTGGATCGGTACCAGTGCCTGCTATACTAACACCTTCTCTACAGTTAGCCAAGATTTTTGACTTTTCTGAGATTTTGCATCAGCTGTTACAGCTAATACAGAGATCTAGGTGACAAAAATCGCAGGCAAGGATCTTACACTGTAATGGGGCGGGGAGACAAATAAGTCCTCAGGAAAATAACTTCAGACTGG